ATCAGTGAAGAGACAAATTCCAAGTGAGAAGAGCTGGCCGACTGGAGAGGCGGAAGTGGAGCTGGCGAGGGGTAGACTGGGTTACTTAGAGGTACAACTGTGGAGGCTGGCGCATTGGCTCGACTGGCACCAGTATCCCATATGGACACCAGTGTGTGTCCCCGCTGCTCCACCTCCTGTCCAGCTCCCTGCTTGTGGCCTGCGAAAGCAGAGGAGGACGGCCCAGAGCCTTGGGACCCTGCACCTGTGTGGGAGACCCAGAAGAAGCTCCTGGCTCCTGGCTTTGGATCAGCTCATTTCCAGCTGTTGCAGCCACTTGGGGAGAGAACCAGTGGACGGAAGATCTTTCTTTCTCTTTGATTCTCTTGAAATCTACCTTTTCAATGACAATAAATATTTAAAAAGAAGAGGAATAAGAACACAGTGTGACTGTCGCAGAGCCCAGAGTGTGTCGGCTCCTGGCGTGACCCTAGCCTGGGGCTCCTGGGTCCAGCATCCCCCACGCTGGTTCCAGCTAATCCCCACCCCACAGTGGACCAGGGAACTGTCCAGTCTCTGTCCTCTGATGCAGGGGGTGGGGCCCCCACGGGCAGTTCGGACATCTGTTTTTCTTGCAGCCATGACCTCACTGCCCTAGTGTCCCCAGGGCCGGTGCGTCAAGCAGGCACAAGTCCCTGGCCAGCAGCCATCTCCACAGCAGCCATGGGGCCACCGTGGGGCCTCTGCGGGCTCCTCTCAGGAGTGTGGACCCGGAGGCCCAGAGCTGGCCCAGCGAGTGGGCCAGGGTGAGCAGCACCAGGCTCCCTGGCACAAGATGGCCCCAGGCCACCTCTGATTCTGACCCCAGGTCATTGTGGATCACCACCTGAGTTTAGGCGGCCACAGTAGAGGGTCTGGAAGTTGTAACTTTGCTTCTGAACTGATCTGGCCTCCCCCCCCCCACCGTCTGCCGTCCACATACTTGGGTAAACGGGCCACGTGGGGTGAGCCCCTCCTGGTTGTGTCTTGCTCCCTTCATCGCTGGCTGAGACCCGAGGATGTGCTCTGCAGGGCCAGCCCTGCCCCCGGAGCCACTGCCTTGGATGGGATCCAGGTCCTACTGTTTTACTGGGGGTTGCACAATGGGGTGCTTCTGGGGCTTGCACCCCCACACACACAGAAAGGGAGGAAATTGGGTGTGCAGAGCCTGCTGCAGGCCAGACTGGGGTCACACACGCAGTTTCTTTTTACAAGCGGGAGGCTTGGTTTCTGGGACCCTCAGTCTTTCCGGCTGCACAATGGGTCAGTGGCCGGCCAGTCTTCCGTTCACCGGATGCCCTGGGGAGTCTGGGCAGAAGCCAGATCTAGGGAAACGGCCAGGAAGGGTTCTCGGCAGCTCCACCCAGGTTTACTCATCTGTGTGAAGTGCTCGGGCGCATGGAGCGCTGGCGTGGGAGGCAGGGGGATGCTTTGAAGTCTGTGCCTTGATTCCCACCCAGCCGCCTCTGGACGCCGTTCCTAGGGCGCACAGCAAGTCCCCGGGAAGGAGAAACCGGGGTCACCCCACCGGTGTTCGGCTTCCAGCCACTGCCGCCCCTCTGGGGCGCCGCCCGCCTCGCAGGCCGGGGGCGGGAGCCTCACGCCTCGGCCGGGAGACTACCGAGCTGGCGCGCGTCCCGGATGGGAATGGCGAGGGCACGCCGGGCTCCTCCCCCGCAGGTGGCCCTGAGCTCTGAGCGGCTCCCGCGGGGGGCCGGACCCCGGGGCGGGGCCTGTCGCGCGCGTGTCCCCACGTGTCCCTGCTCGCTAGCCCTGCCCTCGGCCGCGTGTTTATAACCCGGGATGCGCGCCTCCCCCGGCCCTGCTCTGCTGTCTGCCACAGCCGCCGGTACTCTGGTAAGGACCCCACACTCCCCAATCCCCTGCTGCTCCAGGTTTCTGAGCCTAGGCTCCCCTCTTCGCCCGGGCTCTGCAAGAGCGAACCCGGCAGTCGGAGAGGACGCGCGCTGTGGCCTCCCCACGGACCATCGCGGCGAGCCCGAGGCTCAGACCCGGGCGCGGAGAAGGCGAGCCAGTTGCCTGATCTCTGCTGCCTGGGGCCTGGGTCTGAGAAGGGCGCACGAGCCCAGGGGACGTGTAGGGCCGATGGGGTTATTCCTCCCCTGTGCGCACTGGGTTCCTTCTCCGACCCGACCTCCTCCGGGCAGCGAAGTCCCCTGCGCAGAGCCCGGGGTCCGTGCACCCCAACTGGTCTGCAGCCTGCGCTTTCTGGTTACAACCCAAAGCAAGAGCTACCTGCCAGATTCTGAGCTGAGGGGGCCGGATGCAGGCCAGGTGTGCCTGGGCTCCCCTCCTAGCTGGGGGCAGCCGTCTCGGGGGTCCGTTCCCGGGGAGTGAATAGGGGTTGGCCGCCTGACCAGGCTTCCTGAGCCCCGGGCTGGCCAGTGGGAGGGGCCACCCCACAGGAAGTGTCGCCCTTCTTGCCTTTGGCCCCTGGGGCGGCCAAAGCTCCTCCCCTGTCTGCTGCTGTGGCCTCCTCCAAGGTCCGGTCTGCTGAGTGGGGCGGTGTTGCTGCAAGCCGCAGGCGGGAGTTGGCCTGCCTTTCCACAGGGCCTTGCAGTTTGTCCATCCCCTCTCAGCTCACAACCAGGGACTCGGGTGGCCAGAGGAGGCCTGGAGCTCGCCTCCCAGGTCGGCAGTTGGAGCTGGCACTGGCTCAGCCCTGAAGATTGTTGAGAGCCATGCCTGGGGCCAGGCACACGCTGCTGAACTTAGCGCTGAACCTGACCCGGTCTGGCCAGTGCAGCCTGGCCAAGCTGAAGACACAAAGGGATACTGCATTGCCCTTTGGGGTATCCTGAGGGAGCCAGGTGCTGGCTCAAAGAGCCTAGGGCATAAAAGGGTGGGGGAGTGTTCAATCCTTGGAAGAACCCCCTGTGCACCTGCAGACCAAGTGCATCTGCAGAGACTCTGGCCCAATGGGTACCTGGACTGGGGTAAAGATGGGTGAGAGGAAGGGAGGGAAGCCCCCAGCAAGGGTCAGCACCCCTGAGCTCTGACTGGACTCCCCGCTGCAAAAGCCCTGGGATGGAGCCAGGCACCGAGCCACATGCTGGGCCAGCCTTTCCCCACAGCCTGGGAGGCCAGCCAGGCCAGCTAGATGCCTTGCTGGGAACCATGGAGTGGCACTTCACGTTGGACTGAGCTGGTCTTCCTGGCCCCGGCCCCCTCCCCAGTGCAGGGCTGACCACTGTGGCACTGTGAGCCGGGCCAAAGCTTGCGGATTGGATCCAAGGGCAGTGCGCCTCCTGCCTGTCCAAGTGTGGAATCGCAGCTCAGCTCTAGCAGACACGGGCGTGCAGGAGTGAACTCAATTCCTGGTTCCTGTGGGGGTAGAGGGTGTGTCTCTGTGTTCCTTTAATTATGGCAAACCCAGATCTGCTAAGTCACAGTTAGCAGGAAGCAGCAAGGAGGGGACGTTCTGCACAGTGTAGCTCAGGTTGACCCAATGGGAATATGGTTTGGAAGGTGAATGGAGTTTGAGAGCACAGGATGGGGTGTGGGAACCCTCAGCAGCCGGCCTGGGATGGAAACCTCTTGACTGAGCCTCAGCCACAGCTCTTCAGGCCCCTCATCTGAGGAGGGGCAGGGGCCACCTCCACCTCAAAATGATGGACGTCCACGCTCACTGCTGACATGGCAGGGCCACCTGTGTTTTCCTTGGTGGTGATGAGTTCCCAGGCTGCCCGGCAAGTCCCCCTGGACAGTGGCCAGGTGGCTCTAGCTGAGTCCGCAGAGGACGCCCCTTGCCAGCCAACCAAGGCCAGACTGGCCTGCAGCTGTGTCAGGGGGATCCCCCTCTTCTAACCTCCTCGTAGAGGTCTGTCTACTGGGGAAGGATGTGTTGGGGGGTCCAACATGGCAGCTGGAGGCAGTGGGCACTGGGGAACCCGAGGCAGCTGTTAGGTGTGGCTGGGGTTTAGATCAGTTGGGCTGGAGAGCTTGGGCACCTGGAACCCAGGACCATGGGGCTCAGTGGGTGTCTGCCATTCATCCAGCCTCCTCTCTCCCTCCCTCAGCTCGGGGACCCTGTTTCAGGAGGGGGCAGTGAGAACAATGCCAGGGCCCACCTGCCTGCTCAGCCTTGGGTTTACACTGGCACATGTGTGCCAGCCCAAGCATCATGCCACACGTGTATTGTCTCCCATATACACCCCCAGGTGTACACATGGCAGGCATGCCCCCCCCAACACTCTCTTTCCTTCCCAGACCTCAGTCCCAGAGGCCAACGCCTCCGGGCACCGCCTGGCAGACCAGAGGGGCTCCCTGGCCATGCATTGCATGGTGGGGACCTCTAGAGGACAATGTGCCATGTGCCAGGGGTGTGGAGTGTGAGGCGGGATGGGCAGCCGAGGCAGGGCAGGGCAGGGCAGGGCAGGGCAGGGCAGGCGGGCTCCTGGCTCCTCCCTTTGGGAAGGGAGAAGCAGCTGCAGCCCTGAGAGCTGTATGACTGAGGCTGGAGCACCTGCTACTCCCAGCCCACACCTGGCCCAGCGCTGCCCTTCCCCGAGCCTCTCAGAAAGGTGTGGCCTTGTCATGGAGCCTGAGGGTTCAAACCCCGGCACTCGCCACTTACCAGCCCCTCTAGGTCTTGGGCAGGCTCCTGCATGCAAGCCTCAGTTTCCCTGTCCGTCAAATGGCAGCAGCTCTGGTGGAAGGGCCTAAACCGCAGTGACCCTCACAGGTGTGTGCACCTGCCAGGGCTGGCCACGTTGGACCCTCTGAGTGTCCACTGCTTAGAACATGGCCACCGTGCCCACGTGGAGCTGCCACAGGCTGCACCTGCACCGGCCTCACCGCATGGTGTGGGTACACCTGCATCCATTCTGGGGCCGAAGGAGGGGAGGGGCTGGGGGCTACACAGGTGGCTCACAGGAGATGGGGGTGGCCGCAGAGGCCAAGTTCAGGGCATCGCCTGGGCCGCCACGCCAGCTGAACAGGCTCTGCCTTTGCAGACTGCTTCACCCAGCCGGATTTGGTTTGAGATCCCAGAGCCCCGTACCTCCAAGCCCAGGTAAGTTCAGCTTTCCATCCTCTTCCCCTATCCTCCATGGCCAGTTTCCTGGCTACGGTTGCCATGGGAACTGCCTGCTAGCTCCAGGGTCAAGTTCTGCCGACTCCCCAAGCAGCCCGGGTCCTAGGCAGCCCAGCCTCACACACAGACAAGGCACCAGGCCACAACTCAGCTGCCCCGTGGTCCCTTCCCCCAGTGGGAGGAGGCTGCCCAAGGCCAGGGCCATGCTGCCACAGAGGACGCTGCTGGCTGGGGCCTGGGTCTCAGGTGCTGCGTCTGTCCCCTGCAGACGAGATGTCCGGCAAGGGTTCCGTGGTCCTGGCCTACAGCGGCGGCCTGGACACCTCCTGTATCCTGGTGTGGCTCAAGGAGCAAGGCTATGATGTCATCGCCTACCTGGTGAGGATTTGCGCACGCGTCCCACTTCTTTACCCACCGCCCTGTTGGGTCCCCAGGCCCATCCACTCAGCATCACCCATGCAAGCCCAGCATCACCCTTTCTCAGCCTGCCCTGCCTCGGTCTGTGTGTAAAATGGTTGTCCTTGAGATGTCCCTGGAGCTGGCTCTCATGCTGTGACATGGGGGCAGGGGGCACGGAGGTGACCTCGGCTGCGCTGCCAAAGGCACAGGGTCTGCCCTTCCAGAGCTTCCCCTGTCCGGCCCCCAGTGACTCAGCGAAGACTCGAGTGTTCTACTGGCAGGGTCCTGGCAGAGCATGTGGCTCCCGGGTGGGGAATAGGTCAGAAGTGATAGGTCAGGTGCAGTGCCCCCATCCTAGGCAGGGCTGCAGGCAGTGGCAGTGCCCCCTAACGAGCAGCTCCACCCCTGGTGAGCCCGGCCATGGCCTTGGCGTCTTTCTCCTTGCAGCTGTTGCAAATCATAGAAATTTGATTGGCATCTCGAGCCGGTGGTTGTCGGCTCACCTCAGTGGGCAGCCCAGGACCGTGAGAGCTTCAGGCAAGCCCAGGTTCAGGTGCTGAGCCAGACCCTGTGTCCAGGGAGCCTGGACGGGGCAGGCAAGGCGAGGCTGGCTGCAGGGCCATGTTCACGGCCAGGCACTATAGCAGTGGAATGTTCGTCATTACGGTGTGGGTGGGGGGGAGGCGTAGTGAGCAGAAGCTGTGGGGCCCCCCTGCACCCCTGTAGAGAGGAGCCTACCAAGAAAGAAGGTTCTGTTCTCAAGCTGGGGAAACTGAGGCAGGGCTTGGTGGCATGCTTTGCTCGCAGTCCCCTGGTGAGCACGAGGTGCAATTCTGAGTGGCTCTGGCAGCGGCAGCATGGTGGAACTGGGACCATTGGCCACGCTGAGCTGGCAGATTTGAAAGTCACATGTGACCTGGGGGCAAACACCTGCAGCTGGACTCTGGGAAGATTCCAGAGTCTGGCAGGCAGAAGGCAAGAAGCAAGGGCTGGGACTGGAGCCTGGGCAGCAGGAAACATGCCTGTGTCTAGACTGGGGAGGCACAGAGGTCTGGCTCCAGCTGTGGGGTCACCACTGGGAGCTACAGAGCCCAGGCCCCTCTGCCACGCCCTGCTCCTGGCAGTTCCCGCTGCAGGCTGCCTCAGCCCAGGGAGGACAAAGGAGGTCGGGGGACCTGGGGGAGTGGGCAGGCCCACCACCCAGCATGAGTCCAGCTCCCAGTGTGAGCTCACGCAGGTGCCCCTGCCCCTCCAGAGCCGCTCCACCCCATCCTCCTCTCTCTGAGTGCTGAGCTGTGTCACTGGGTGTGCAGCTGCATGTGCGGGGCCTGGCCCGGGGCCCACCCATGGGCTGCCTTCCTCTGGGGCTCCCCTCGGTGCCCCACCCGGGCCCGTGGCTCACCCCCTGACTGATCCCTCTGCCTTTGCTCCTCAGGCCAACATTGGCCAGAAGGAAGACTTTGAGGAGGCAAGAAAGAAGGCGCTGAAGCTCGGGGCCAAAAAGGTACCAAGTGGGGGGCAGGGTGGGGACCAACTGGGGCACAGTGATGTGAAGGGCAATAGGGATCCTGGCTGGCTCACTGCCCCTTCTAGCTTGCCCTCCTGCCTCCACAGTGTGACACTGTCTGATGCACAAACACCACCCTCTTCCTACCTCCCTGGCCACTCTTCTCTCCATGGCCATCCCATTCCTCTACCATTTCTGCACCCGCTCATCCACTGACCAGCCAGTTGGCCACCAGGTGTGTCCATCCATCTAGCCATCCGTCCATCCATTTACCATTTACCTATCTATCTAGCCAGCTGTCTGTCTGCCCAGCCACCATCCACCCATTTATGCATGCATCCTCTATCCGCCCACCCCCCACCCATCCATTCATCCACCCACCCATCCACCCATCTGACCATCCATCCATTCATCCATCCATCCATCCATCCATCCACCCATCCATCCACCCGTCCGTCCGTCCATCCATCCATCCACCCACCCATCCATCCACCCACCCATCCATCCGCCCATCCACCCACCCATCCATCCATCCACTCATCTGTCCATCCATCCATCCGTCCATCCATCCATCCATTCATCCATCCACTCACCTATCCACCCATCCACCCACCCACCCACCCATCCATCCAACCACCTATCTGTCGTCCATCATCCAACTAAACTGAACACCTCCAGTGAGTTCAGTGCAGTGACTGCATCTTGTCACACAGTGGGCAGCCCTGTCTTGGGGATGGGGCACATATGATGGATGGAGCTGACAGGGTCCCGTCTCACAGGTGCCCACAGTGCTGTGTGTGACCTGTGTCCACCAGGGAAGTCACAGTCCATTGCAGCCCCTTATGTGGAGGAGTGAGCAGCAGACACAGCAGCAAAGGGCCAAAGACCCCTCAGCATGAGCTGCCTGATTAGGGCCCTCTACCATGTCTCCTGGCCCAGGGTGTGCTAGGCACCCGGCCAGGGCTCGGTGAGCAGTTCAAGTGAGAGTGTAGAGCAATGAATGGGTGGGTGCCAGCCCTTCTGTATTCTCATTTTTCTGTGATTTTAAAAACCATTTATTTGAGAGGCAGGGAGGCAATGCTGCCACCTGCTGGTTCATTCCCCCAAGTCCACCACAGCCAAGGAAGGACCAGACAGGTACCAGAAGCCAGGCACCGAGTCCTGACCTCCCATGAGGGTGGCAGGGGCCTGGTCATTTGCTCCTCCCGCCCGACTCCGCCAGGGACTGCACAGACAGGCAGCCGGAGTCCAGGCAGAACCAGTGTCAAACCAGCCGGTATCCCCACGTGGGACATGTGATGGCTGTCTTCACCGCCAGGCCAATGCCTGCCCGTACTGACAATGTTCGCATCTCTTTGTGCATATCGCGGTAGACTGTAGGAAAGAAAGTAGCTGCCTGGCATCCTGCCTGGCACCCTGTGACGTCCGCTGAACAACAGGCACAGGAGGGAAAGTGGGGGTATGGCTTGCCATTGGGTCAGTGCCCCTGGGGCGCCCTGAGGCCCCAAGCTCTGGCTCATGGCCCCCTCCCCCAGGTATTCATTGAAGACGTCAGCAGGGAGTTTGTAGAGGAGTTCATCTGGCCCGCCGTGCAGTCCAGCGCCCTGTACGAGGACCGCTACCTGCTGGGCACCTCCCTGGCCAGACCCTGCATCGCCCGCAAGCAGGTGGAGATCGCCCAGAGGGAGGGTGCCAAGTACGTGTCTCATGGTGCCACAGGGAAGGTAAGGAGAAAGGTGGGGTGCCAAGTGCTCCAAGGGCAGAGGGAGAATGGCCAGGCTGGGCTCCAGGCTTGAGCTGGATGCCTGGGCTCTGCAGATCCCTGTGGGAGGCCCGCAACCCCTAGGATGCCCTGCCTTTCTGTAGCCTGGGGCATATTCCTACATGGGATGGATCAGGGCCCGGGACTCCTGGCCACGCTGGGAGCTGCCGGGCCAAGTCACCATGAGCCTTGACTCATGAGTGCTGCGGCGGGAGCCACCCCATCCAGCCCTTGGGCAACAACCCTGGCACCCCCATGACACGGGCCAGTGGGGAAGCAAGGCTGGGAGCTAACTCAGCAAGCTTTGGCCGGGATGTCCGGCAGTGTGGGACTCCTGGGGCCTGTTGTCCACCCCACCCCACCCCTGAGGGAGAAGAGAAGGGACAAATGACCTGGCATCTGGGGCTCAGTGCAGGGCATCCGTGGGCAAGGGATGGAGGCACAGACAGGGAACAGCCTGTGTGAAGGCCAGGAGCAGGGGAGGCACTGGGGCCAGGGCTAGGCTGGGACCACTCTGGGTGACTAGGAACCCGGGCAGGGCTCCCATGGAAGGCAACTCACACACATGCCCTGGGCCTTCGTTTTCACTCTCATGGTCACAGGGAAACAGTTGGTCCTGGGCCACCTGGACAGGCACGTGTGTGTGTGCCACCTTCCCTGTGAGGGTGGTAGGAGAAGCAGGTGCAGCAGGGCACCTGGGCTCAGCCTGGCTTGGTGGAGATGAGATCAGAGCCCACGGCTTCAGGGCTGTGTGGCCTGGCCCCCCTCAGGGAGTCTATTAGCTCAGCCATGGAAGGGACACAGACAGGGAAGCCAGGGCCAGGCGTGGGCATGTGCGTAAGCCACTGCCTGGGTGTCACTTAGGACCTGGCCCTGCTCCCAGCTTTAGCCCCAGAGGCTGCAGCAATGGAAGCCAGAAGCCAGGAACTTCCTCCAGGTCTCCCACGCTGGTGCAGGGTCCCAAGGCTTTGGGCTGTCCTTGACTGCTTTCCCAGGCCACAAGCAGGGAGCTGGAATGGGAAGTGGAGCTGCCGGGATTAGAACCGGCGCCCATATGGGATCCTGGCGTATTCAAGGCGAGGACCTTAACCATTTAAGGTTGGCGTGTAGCCCACAGAATGGTTGAAACAATGAGCATAGCGTGAGGCTGGCATATGGTCCACTGCCAGAGAAAGAAGGGTCCTTTCCCTTCCTTCTGGGATCGGCAGGCCTGCTCTGGGCACCGAGTAGAGAATGAGCTGGGCAACAAGTTCTCTGTTCTACCATGCATGCACAAAAGGGTCAACAGAGCCAGGGCCCCTAGAGGGGGCCTAACCTGAGAAAGCCCCTTCCCCCACCGGGGTTCAGTGAGGAGGCAGTCAGGGCTGGGGGAGCCATGGGTGTGTCGGCACTGGCATGCAGCCGCAGCATGCCCACCACCCACAGCGTGCTCATCGCCCACTGCAGCTGGGAATAGCAGTCACCCGCTGTGCGCGGCTCCTCGCTGAGGCCACCAGGGGGCGCCAGAGGCCAGGGTTTGGGTCTACTTGCCCACTCACTGAAGCTCACCCTCAGAGGCCCTAGGAGAGGGTGGGATTGGAGACATTGCAAGAGGGGGTGAGAGCAGAGAGGGGTGCAGGGCATATCCTTGTGCCTCATTTTGCAAGAACCCCTTGTGGGGGAGTGTCAGCAGGTGGTGGGGGGAGACCGGGACATAAGCAAGCATGATAGGCAGACTCCCACATTTGAGGAAGGGGCCGGGAAGCCAAGGCTGAATCTCTGGCGGAGGGTGTGGGGGAACAGGTGGCACCATCTCTGTGGCTGTCACGGAGGGGGCAGAAGGGAGGCCCCAGGCTGCCAGGGGCTGCCCCAGTTTGCATGGTCACGCATAGCCACGTGTGAGTGTGTGCTTGGGCTCCGGCAGGCTGCCAGGGGCTGCCCTGCTCATAGAGCCAGGCAGGACCCGGACTGCTGTCTTGGGGGACTTCTCCAAAGACCCTGGCTCCCAGACAACAGGGGTCCCTGTCATGGCAGCGTCTGGGTGGGCAGACACAGCCAAGGCACCTGTGTGTTGGGGAGGCCTTGCGGGGCACGGGGGTGGGGGAGAGGAGGAGCAAAGAGGGGTGGGCATGTTAGCCCCTCCCTGCCCTGGTCCAGAGGAGGCCGCAGGCTGGCGACTGGCTGCCAGGCCTGGGAAGCTCGTTCTGGCCGGAGCCCAGGCCTCTTGTCTGCATGTACATGATGAGGCCGGGCACATTTGCTGTGTGACCTGGGCGAGTGGCCTTCCCCCTCTGAACCTGACTGCTCAGTGGCTGTGTAGACACTGAGGGCATGACCAGTGCCTGGGAGGGGCTCAGAAAGATCCTGTATGCATCCCAGCTGGTGGGGCCCAGCTCAGGTCCCAGGCAGACGGCACTGGTGGACCAGATGGGGGGGGCACCAGCTCCCCGCACCCCCACCGCCGCAGCCCCCAGCTGTGCAACGAGGGCTGGAGCTGGCACTGGCTTTGCATGCTGCCTGCCTGACAGCGCTGGAAATGACACGTTATCCCTGCCGTGCTGCCGCGCCGCCGCGCTGTGCAGTTTTCACAGTAGGCGAAAGGTTGCTCTGTTATCTCCACGGCCCTTGAATCTCCGGCGGCTGCCAGCCCGCGGGGAAGCCGGCAGGAGCCAGCGCTTCCCTCTCCTGCGAGCCCGCTTCATCTCCAGTGTTGGAGCTGCTGGGGCGCTGGGGGCCTGCCGGAGCCCCGGCACCGTCCCTCCCCACCTCCAAGCTCCAGTGTTCCTGGCTGAGCCCTCTGTGGTCATCTGGTCCGTCCCCTCCGCCAGGCGTGGCAGGGAGAGGTGACAGGAGCCCTGGGTTGTGGGCATGGGGCTTCAGCAGCTGTGGTGTGTGCAGGGGTCCCGGGAGGAGGCTGATCCCTCAGGCTTCCAGCAGATGTGCCCCGTGCACACACGTGACGACACACATGTCCACTGTGTCCATACACACACTCCCTGTGCTGTGTGCACATGTGCTGAAACGCATGTCCCCGGCACCATGGAAATGCACTGACGCGTGTACCCTGTCCTGTGTGTCTGTGTCACATTGCATTCGGCCACCTGCCCACACACACGTGACCCTACATTACACACCCTCCCCATGTGCCTGCCCCGCCCCAGTGGGTCACACGCCTGGATTCACAGGTGTCACAGCACCCGTGACTCGGCATAGAGTCCCCCCACACGTGTGCCCGCATGCCCAGGTCCTGGGATGGGCCCCCAGCGGTGCGTCTAGGGTAGGAACGGCCCCCCAGCCTTCACAGGAATCTGTGACCCTGTCTTTGGGCTGCCGTGGCAGGAGCAGCCGCCCCTGTGCTGCCCGTGGCTCCGGACAGCACCCCCACACCCTGTGCATTGCAGGGGAACGACCAGGTCCGCTTTGAGCTCACCTGCTACTCGCTGGCACCCCAGATCAAGGTAAGACCCTGCTCCTCCCCGGGGTGGGAGTGGCAGGGAGGAGCCCTCAGGGATGCCAGGCAGGGTGGAGTGTGGCGATTTGCTTCGGACCAGGGTTGCCCCCACCCCACCCCTCAGCCTTGTCCCCCACCCAGGTTCTCACAGTGGCTTTGGGTGTTGAGGTATGCAGTTTCTGGATTTTTGCAGAGGCCAAGCCTGGGGGGCTGTGATGGGTTGAGGGAGGGGGTGTGCCCCGTTGGAGCCCAGCCGGGGGTCAGGGGGAGGGGCCCTGATGGGCAGCTGACGGTAGCAAACCCTGCTGCCAGACCCTGCCCCGCCTCCACCCTTCCAGCCCCGTGGGGCCCCGCCTACCTGCCAATCGATTGGGGCTATTCTTGGGGATCCATCCTTGACCCTCTCTGGCCAGCAGGCCCCAAGTGGAGTGAACATGGCTTCTGGCAGACTGGGACATTTTCTTCAACTTTCTGGGGGTGCAGGGGCAGGATGGGGGTGCGGCGTGCATCACCTCTGGGCCCCACTGCCCCCCTGCACGACCTTCACGGGCAGAGGACATAGCCATGGACACAGCGACCCCTGTGGGACAGGCTCCTGCCCCCCAGCACGAGGTTCATCCTCTCTGGAGGAGGCTGTGGGGGCGGGACACGGCCGTGCTGCCACTGCCAGGCCAGGAGAAGCCTGTGGCTGCTGGGCCACCCCCACACCTGACCTCTGGCCCACTTCCAGGTCATCGCGCCGTGGAGGATGCCTGAGTTTTACAACCGCTTCAAGGGCCGCAACGACCTAATGGAGTACGCCAAGGTACACCACGCCCCTCGCCCCACGCCCCACCACCCAGCGCCTGCCTGCCCCGGAGCTGTGAACCCACAGAAGCGCGTGTGGTCGCCTGCTGTGTCCATCTCCTAGCCTGGGGTCCACTCTGTGTAGGGGTGGGGGAAGGAGGCCGTGTGAGTGAGGCACTGCTCTCACTTCCCTTACCTGGTGAAACCATCCCGCAGTGGGGACCATCCGGGGGGCAGCAGTGGACAAAGCTTTGGGCGGTGGTGCCAGCAGCCCCCTTTTGAAATACAAGTTGCAAGAAAACATATTAGAAGTTTTGCATCAGGAACTGAAGCTGCTCCCCGGGGCACCTTTCTTTTGAGCGACTCGATGGCAGCGCTTGACAAACAGCCTCAATCAATCAGAGAGGGGAAAGCGACTCAGTGCACACACCAGAAAATTGCTCAGGTTTTTAAATAGCAGGCGCCCGGGCTGGCTGTGCACGCCTGCGGCCGCCACCGCGGTGCCCGCGTGGTGGGGGACGCGGCGGGGACACAGCCCTGCCCCTGTGGCCGGCATCCCATTAAGAACGGGAGTGCTGGGAGGAAAGGCCTTCGCTACCATCTGTTGTTTGATTATGAAGAGGGGAATTTACAAGAGCAAGCCCATATGTTGCCAAACAAATTGTCAAAGAACAGAGCTATTAAGGGAGCCGGGGGCTGACCAGGCCTCCCCCCGCAGCCAGCCCCCTCCCCCGCCCTCCGCCCCACAACCCCCACCCCCCAGCACGTCATGCTTAAGGAAAATGGATTGACGAGCTTGGGGTCCCTGTCCGCTGCTCTCACATCTCAGGTTGTGGCCACTGGGCAAGCCTGGCTGTCCTGGGGCCACCCCGACTGCCCTGGTCTTGAACATGAACTCTCAGGTGTTGTCAGGCGTCACCTTTGAGGCAGGTGGGATGAGCTGAGCAGCAGCCTTGGCCGCGCCCCGGCCCGGCCCAGGGTCCTGTGGGCAGATCACCTGGAGAGCCCGGGGCATGCGTGCCGACTTGGCCCAACGCCAAGCTGCCAACGTGGTTGCAACAGAAACTTGGGCAGTGTCACCCAACGAGGCCTGGAGACCTCGGTTTAAAGCAGCGAGGAGCCACGGCGTCTTTCTGGAGGAGGCCCCCCCAGGTTCTAACCATGCTGGAGCTGGGGAGAGGAAGCTGGCCTAGGAGATGCTGATGGGGTCCCCGGGCTGGGCAGGGCACCTTACCACACTGGGCAGTGTGCAGGGCAGCGGCCTCCTAGGGGAATAGGAGAGCACCTGGGCCAGGCTGAGCTGGGCTGGACTGGGCTGGGCTGGGCTGAGCTGGGCTGGGCTGGGCTGAGCTGGGCTGGACTGGGCTGGGCTGGGCTGGGCTGGGCTGAGCTGAGCTGGGCTGGGCTGAGCTGGGCTGGGCTGAGCTGAGCTGGGCTGGACTGGGCTGGGCTGGGCTGAGCTGAGCTGGGCTGGGCTGAGCTGGGCTGGGCTGAGCTGAGCTGGGCCAGGCTGAGCTGGGCTGGACTGGGCTGGACTGGGCTGGGCTGCCCTGGGCCAGGCTGGGCTGAGCTGAGCTGGGCTGGGCTGAGCTAGGCTGGGCTGGGCTGAGCTGGGCTGAGCTGGGCTGAGCTGGGCTGAGCTGAGCTGGGCTGGGCTGGGCTGGGCTGGACTGGGCTGAGCTGGGCTGGGCTGAGCTGGGCTGAGCTGGGCCGGGCTGGGCTGAGCTGGGCTGGGCTGAGCTGAGCTGGGCTGAGCTGAGCTGAGCTGGGCTGAGCTGAGCTGGGCTGGGCTGAGCTAGGCTGGGCTGGGCTGAGCTAGGCTGGGCTGGGCTGGACTGGGCTGAGCTGGGCTGGGCTGGGCTGAGCTAGGCTGGGCTGGGCTGAGCTGGGCTGAGCTGGGCTGGGCTGGGCTGAGCTGGGCCGGGCTGGGCTGAGCTGGGCTGGGCTGAGCTGGGCTGAGCTGGGCTGGGCCGGGCTGAGCTGGGCTGGGCTGGGCTCCACTTTGGCATCAACATGGCTGACACAGGCTGCTGGAGCCGTAGCCTCCAGGCCACGCTTGTGGTGGGGAACTGTTTTCTTTAAGGATGGTGTAGTTGCTACAGGACTTAATCCATGATGGTTGCAAGAGGCTAGGGCTGCTTGAGAGCGTGAAGGGAGCGCCCCCAGCTCCCAGGCTGGGGGGGGGGAGGGGGGGTCAATGAGCTGGTGCAGAGTTGGCCAGCACAGTGCCTGGGGTGCTGTCTCCGTGCCTCTGGGGGGCCCTTGAAGTGTGGGCTTACGGAATCTTCTAGAAGGAACCTCCAAGGTGAGTGTCCAGTCGATACTTGTAGTGTCTCCATGGATACCAGGAGACCAGGTTAGGGTCCAGGGTCTAGGGACCGTCACACCCCGAGAGACCCTCACAGCCACCCCGTGCTGTCCCATGGTTTTAGCAACACGGAATCCCCATCCCGGTCACACCCAAGAACCCGTGGAGCATGGATGAGAACCTGATGCACATCAGGTAAGGTGCACCCCCGACTGCGGCCCCCACCCTCGTGGGACCCAGAGGAGCGACACACCGGACGACGCGGCTCCTGTCCACTCTCACCGGCTCTCTGCTCAGTGGTGCTGGGGCAGCTGGGTCTTACAGGCGTATCAGGGAGGCCAGCCCTGAGGAAGTGGCCTCGGCCAGGACACAGGGCACAGCATGCATGGAGCTCCTGAGAGCAGAACCCCTGCCATGTGTGGGGCCTTGGGGCTACACCCCCAAAAGACCAGGGCCCCAGACAGCTGGGGAGGGCCTAGACGGATCCAGAACTAGATGGATGGCAGAGAGAAAAAGGCAGCCCAGACCGTGGTCCGGCAGGGTGTGGGGGTGCATGGCGTGGTGGTGTCCCCTGCCCGCTGACCGCTCTCTTCGCTCTGCCCACACAGCTACGAGGCCGGAATCCTGGAGAATCCCAAGGTAATGCCACATCCCCTCCCTGGTGGCGGGTAGCTGCCCAGGCTGTGGCTGGATACATTGGGAGCCTAATTTGAAATTTCACGGGGGCCGGGCTTGGGGCTATCAGGTTCCCCCCCGCCCCCCGGGGGCCCCGGGGCCTGCCCTCTCTCCACACTGCATTTTGAGAGCCCCCGCCACTCCCCCTCCCTCCCTCTGTCACTAATTGCTGCTGGATGAATGGGGAAGGAAATATTTGAGGGCAGCAGAGAAAGTGTTTGAGTGGGAGACGATAAAGAAGTGATGAGGCGGACGGCCACTCGTGGGTGGCCCTGGCCTGGCCGGCCGGCTCTCCGCTGTCGGCCGGGGGTGGCAAAACCCCAGGACCCACTTGTTTGGGTCTGCGTCCCACACCTCCAGTTCCTAGGCTGACCTGTTCAAAGTTGAGGTTTTTTTCTCCCCAGGGTTTCTCTGTGTCCCCTCTTGCCCATCCTTGGATAAGCTGCAAGGCGAAATCATCAGGGAACAGGAAAAAAATATCTCATTGTCCCCCGAGGGACTCTGGGAATGACCGGTGTTGGTGGTGGTGGTGGTGGGACCGGGCAGAGAACCAGGAAGATCGCTGGAAGGGAGGAGGGCAAGGCCAGAGCTGGCTGGATCCTGCCCAGGGCCCCGGCTGGTCCCAGGGCTGGCGTGGTGGCACTGACTAGATGTTAGTGTGTGCGGCCCTGGCACTGCACTCCCGGGTGGCAGGTCTAGGTGTGGCTTTCCTGGGCTGTGGTCTTGGATGTGGGCTCTGGCCACCTTCGGCCAGTGGCAGGGCGCAGGGGACAGAGGCCCAGGACTCCGCACTGCCCCCGCTGCCCACTCGGCCTGCTGGGTGCTGTCAGGACAGCCGGCACCCTTGCCCCTGGGGCGCTGATGGGGACCCCGTGGGGCTGCTGCCTGCTGCTCAGTAGCGCTTACGGTTCATGCTCTGCTGACCCTGAGATGCCGGCCCCTCCTAATTAGCCAGTCAGTCAGCACCCAGGGGGGCCGGGCCACAGTGAGGGGCTTCCGGGCAGGAGGCCCTCTCAGGCCAGCCTGCCCATCCACAGGCAGGAGAGCTACTCTCCTAGCCCTGTCTCTCTCACACACAGCACCCTCCTGCTGCCAGAGAGAAAGGAACCCAAAGAACAGAAAAGTTGGGGAGCAGAGCTGAGGCAGAGGGTCACCCCGAGGGTGCTAGCCCCTCCGAGACCTCCTGCTTAGATGAGCGCCTCACTGTCTTTATTGAGGATTCGGGTCTGAGTCCGCTTCCTGCAGTTGTGCAGTCTGAGGCACACAGTGCAGCCACCCTGGGCCTCTGATGGCCTTAAGCACCCAGTGGGAGGTTGCAGCACCTGCGTCCTGACACCTCAGGGGACGCTCCCTGGCAGGAGGCAAGAGTCCTGCCTCCACCTGACCACTCTCCTCACCAGGCAGGCTAGCTGGGCTGTGTGCAAGGGCAGGGGATCCATGCGGCTGGACTGGCAACCCACGCGCCTGGCACTGTGGCAGGCCTGGCTCCCTAATGGGACTCTCATGCCGGCCCCTGATGCTGAGGGCTGCCCTCCCACGGCTGCTGCGACCACCTCACTGTGCTGGACCTGTCCGGTCCCTGCAGCTCGGGGGATGTGGAGGTGGGGGGAGCTGGTGCCCCTCCCCCTCTCCCCAAAAAAGCCCCCAGCCTGCAGAAGGGAGGGCTGGAGGCAGATGGCTGGACCATTTTCTGCCTCTGTGAGGGCTGATTGAAGGGCAATGAGGCAGCTAATGTGAAGAAAGATAGACATTTACTTGCCTTAACTTCATAGGGCCCCCAGTGAAAGAGTTCACTCAGCCGCCGGCCCGCCGCAGCCAGTGTGTGAATAAAGCCCGCTCGGCATCGATCATGCCTACACACCATGGTTTAGTGCATGGGCCATTTGCTGCCAATTTCTCCTTCTCCCGGCCTGTTTCATGCTTTCTTTCGGCCTCATCCCCCCTCTGTCTCCTCTCTCTCTCTCTCTCTCTCTCTCTCTCTGCACTCCCCCTCCCCCTCCCCATGACATTGGAAGTGAGCCCTCCCGCTGGGAAGGGAAAATAGCCGGCATTGATACTCCCCAACAAACTATTTGTCATTTGAACCAGGCTTTTAGGGGAGAGAGTTAAAAAAAAAAAAAAAAAAGGCATGCCGGGCCACCTTGGCACGCAAAGCAAATGTCATTTTATTTCTATTTAGTTATGTCATTGCATCTGCATCCTACTTAGCTATGTCCGCCACAGCGGCTGCCCCCAACTTCCGCTGTGGGGTCAGGGGAGGCGTGGGTGTTGATTGGGTGAGGAGAGGGACAAACCCCAAGGCTCACGTGGAGGTGGGCTCGGTTTGGACAGGGAGTGGGGCTCCCTGGCTTTGGGGTATGGTACCCAGCCACCATCCATCTTGCCTTCTGTCTGCTTCTGGGTATTGGCAGGGTCAGTGGGACCAGCAGCTCAAGAGTCCGCTGTTTCTCAGAAACCCACCCAGATGCCCACCCATGGCTCATGATGCCAGTCCTCTCTGGCTCGTAGCCACTCCGCATGCCCCACCTCCAGGTGGCATAGCAGCTGGGAAGAGCACCAAGCCACTCCAATCTCTGCCTTGGTTTTCTTCCTGATCCACAGGGCATCAGGCCTGGGGTCTTCAGGATCCCGGCTTTAGGGTCCAGAAGCAGATGGCAGAGGGGGCACAGCCCAGAGCGGGCTCCCCCACAGGCTCTGAGCTCAGAAGCAGTGCCCCAAGCACCCACTGTCCCTAGCTGCCCGCAGACCCCATACCGTCCATCACCCAACCAGGCCTGGCCTTTGCTCATCCCTGTATACTGACACTGTAAGCCAGTCAGTGGCAAACCTCAGCTTGCCCATTTCACTGATGGGGAAGCTGACCCAGGGGGAACGGCAGCTTGCCATGGTCTTAATGTCATCATGCCTCCTAGCTTGGGGGGTGCTTTCTTTCACACCCCAAATCCCATGTATACCGGGACATTTCATAAGGCTTGCAAAAAAAAAAAAAAAAAGGAAAAAAATCTGTTAAAAGGAGTGCCGTCCACTCGTGGACCCCTCTCATGTGTCTGTCCCCGCACTGGGTGACAGGGAGCAAGCAGACATGGCCCACCAGCACTTACAGCTTCCCGGCCTCGAGCCTATTCATCTGTAGCTGGGGCTGGTGGTGCTTGACCTTATCCAGAAGCCAGCATGGGAGGTGGGGAGTGGTGTGGGGGAATGTCCCTAATGGGGGAAGAGCCAGGATGGGCTGTTTGCAGGGTGTCAGCGGGTGGATGGAGCAACTAGCCCCAGGATGCCTACTGTAGGGGCTTGAGCAGTTGGGGCTCAGAGGGCCCCCCCACCCCAGCCCGACGGTGACAAGTGTCCAAGACTGGGCCGGAGGGGTGTGGGGCCTGTGCAGGAGGCAGGCAGAGGGAGGGAGGGGATTTGGAGCTTCACAAGCAGTCAGCAGCCCCCCCCCCCCCACCATGCCGAGGCAGGAAGCCCATCTTCCAGCACGCTCCAGATAAAAAAAAAAAATGTGCATAAAGGTTGATGTGTTTTCAAATGGGTTTTTGCTTTCCTCTTCTCTTTTCTCCCTGTGAGTATTAACCCCAGGCACCCGGGGGACGGCTCGGCTCGCCAGAGCACCTGCTGGGGTCACGCGCAGTCATTAGCTTTGCGGTCAGTGCAGAATAAACCCCAATTCTCAGCGCCAGGCGAGCGTGCGTGCGTGCGGGCCACTCCCGGGAAGCCGGCAGAACACCCCGGCCGCCGCGCCCCCTCCAAAGTCACACTGTCTCCTGCCTGACTTGCTTCTGTGTCCTCCTGTCCTACCTCCAGCTGTGGGGGCGTCGAAGGAAAAGATGAGATCAAGTTGAGGGGAAAAATTGTCTGATTTCTTGAGTCTTTTGTTTCCCAGGCCCTGGACAAGCTGGGCTGGTTGGATCTGGACTGAGGGCTGGCGTCCCAGGCTGGCTGATGGGGGGCCGGGGCCTCCTCACCAGCCAGCCTGGGGTGCAGGGGTGTCCTGGATGCCCCCGGCTGTAACCTCTGGCTGTCTTTTTGTCAGAACCAGGCACCTCCAGGCCTCTACACAAAGACGGAGGACCCTGCCAAAGCCCCCAACAGCCCTGACATCTTGGAGATTGAGTTCAAGAAAGGTATGTGGCCACTGCCCACACAGATCCCGGATTTGCTGGGAGCAGAGGAGACTCTCAGGACCCCGATTCAGGCAGGGAGCTGCAGGGATCCCAGACGCCCCCTTCCCTGGAGCACGGGACCCATTAGCAAGGCTCCAGGTACCCAAACTGCACACACACACCCCCAGCTGCCCATCACGCTGTTCCCGGGCTGGGGCTGGGCGGGGGCGGGAGGTCCTGAACTGAAGGCAGCCACTCCCCGCAGTAGCCATTTGCTGGGCAAATCCCTCAGCTTTTCCAAGTCTGGTCTCATCTGTTGAGTGGGCACACGGGAGCAAGGGACCCACCATCTTCCTGGCACAGAGGGAGGTCTGGACCCCAAGCCCTGGGCACAGGCACGAGAAGGGACTCCGTAGGCCACAAGTCCAGAACTTCAGGCGGGGTCCCTGAGTCGGCCAGCCCCTCCCTCTCTCTCACTGCTGAGGGTCAACAAGAAGCCTCTGCTGGCCAGGACCGAGAGCCCAGCCTCGTCCCTGGAACATGGAAGGAGGGGTGTCAGGTCTGCCAGGACCATGGTCAGAGAGAAGGCCAGGAGCCCACGGAGGGAAACCAACCAGGAGGCCAAATCAGGGATGCTTCCTGGAGGAGGAGGTATTGGGGGCCAAGAGGAGGTGGGAGAACAGTCCAAGCCCAGGTGAGGGAGTTGGCCGCTCTGTCCTTTGACAGGAGGGCTGCAATGTGACCTCCATGCGTCCCCTCAGGGTGTGGGGGTCATGTTGGGGTCTGGGAAACCCAGGGCCTAAGTTCCTCTCCTTACAAACCAGCAGGTGCCATGTGCGTGGGGTGTGCCCTTGAAAGAGGCTTCAGGCCTTTCCAAGAACCTGGCCAAGCCAGTGGGCACCCCCTGGTCTGCCGCCACCCTCCAGCTTCCTGCCAGTTTGGGGCTGCAGCCCCAAATTCAGCTGACACCCACTCTGGCTGACTAGCATGGCTGGCAGGTCTGGGACGGGGGGGCCTGAGATGGGGGCAAACTGGGCATCCATGCCCGGGCTCCCATGCAGGGAGAGCCAGGTGGGTGGGGAGGAGGCGGGCAAGGCAGTGGTGGGTCTGGGGGCAGCAGAGCTCAGTAGCCCGGCTCCAGAGACTGGGCAGCCACAGCCTGCATTGTGACGACTAGGGGATTGTCTGGAAGGAGCCAAAAAAAAAAAAAAAAACAAAAAACCCGATGGGAGGAACCTCCCCTGCCTAGCCCCCATTCACTGTCTAGTTAATTTATTTGAAGTTTTAATCTAATTATTAACTATTTTAAAGGCTAAGAGGCTTTCTTCGGCAGCAGCGCCAACAATGTTACCTCTCTTGCCCAGCCTGGGCCCCATAATAGGGGCCGGGGAGGGAGACAGAAAGAGAGTAGAGAGAGGCGGGGGTGGGGGGTGGCGAGGGGAGCTTAAGGTTCATTACTGGGCAGACTTACATTTAATAGCAATTTACAACCAAGTTATAAAACCCCTGGCAATGGGGGTTAAGAATGGTGCGGCTGACAGCGCCTTCAGCGCAGCCCGGCGGAGTAGCGCCCGCCTAATAAAGACTGGAAAGCCTCTATTGAGGCCTGATTGGCACCCGGTGGTTCCCTACATGGTAATGAGGCGGGCAGATGGGTGGGATTAGCCTCCAACTTTGAACGGCTTTTCTTTGCCACTGTTACAGCTCTCTTGTTAGTTCCCTAATACATTTATTGCTCATTTCACACCACTCTCTATTCAAAGCCAACCCTGAACCCACCCACCTCCCCCACCCCCGCCACCACCACCACCACCACCGTGCCCCCCACATCCCCACCCGGGTGCCTCCCTTGGCCCCACTGTCACCCCAGACGGTCCCCACTCAGAGCCCACACAGCTCCTGACACCCCACCAGCCCTGGGGGGCTGCATTGGGGAGCCGGGGGTGCTGGGTATGCACCTGACAGACGTGGCGGGGGGGGGCTGGGGTCCATGCCAGCCGGCCGGGTGACTGGTGGGACAGAAGGTATCCTGGCCTAAGACAATGGCGGAGCGTGAAATTGAATTAGTTCGGGGCCTGGTTCCAATTTCACAGCCCCCAACTGCAAAAGGGGCCAGGAGAATGGGAGGGTGGGGGAGAGCGTTTTTATTGCATCTTCCCTTTCATTCCGGGGGGCTCCCTCGTCCCTTCCCTCTCCCCCGCCCCAGCAGGCCCCAACCTGCACAGGGCTTTTGAAGGACTCGCTGGGACTCCATATCTGTCACGTCCATTTAAGGCGTGCAGGGCTGAGGGAGAGGGCGGGGCGGTGGGCATGCTGGCCCCAAGCCCACCACCACACTCCCCTCCCTCCCTAGGGGTCCCCGTGAAGGTGACCAATGTCAAGGATGGAACCACTCATCGGACCTCCTTGGAGCTCTTCACCTACCTGAACGAAATCGCGTGAGTGTCTGCTGTGATGCTAGCCAGCAACGCCCCCCAGGGCTGGCCCCCTACATGTTGACCTCCGGGCCAAGATGCCGGGGTCTTTGTCAGCCTTGGCAGGACGTGCTGCCTCCCAGGGAGGGTCAGGGGACCTGGATGGGAAGGGGCAGGCGATGTGAGTAGGACTCGGCCCAGGGCCCAAAGAGCAAACCTCAGCAATGGACATATGCTGCAAGAGGTCCCCTGAAGACCCCGGTGAACCCTAGTGTCCTGCTCTGGGGTGGGCCCAGCTGGCTGTGTGGTGGGTGGCCTCCATGACGCCCTCCCTCCCTTTTGGTCCCCAGGGGCAAGCACGGCGTGGGCCGCATCGACATTGTGGAGAACCGTTTCATCGGGATGAAGTCCCGTGGTGAGTGCTTGTCCCCTCCTGTGTGTGCCCGGAGACCGCCCGAGACCACTTCTGTCCTGCTCGCACACTGCTCAGAGGGCCCTGGGAGGGACCTGGACCTGGAGGTCAGGTTGTCCCATGTCTGGAGTGGGATTGCTGGGTTTGACGGCAAAGCTGGATCCTGCCGTGGTGGGGCGTGGTGGGCTCCCAGGGGTCTCATGCCTGTGCTGGGTCAGGAATGGTACCTGGCCCATCTCTGGGTACTGCTGCTCCGGTAGCTGTCCCCTTGGCTGGCTGGGCCTGGGGCTGGCCAAGGGGAGTGGTCCCCAGGAGGTGCCTTGCATCCGCCACTCACTCTCTCTCCCTGGGCCTTGGTGTCCGTGTCCACCCTCAGGGGTCTGTGGTGCGCAATGAAGCCAGATGCTGTTCTTTGGTGAGACTGGGGGCTGCTCTAAGAGGAAACGGGACAAGGTGGCCTCTGTGACAGCCCCTCACTCAAACACTTGAGCTTGCCATTGTTCCTGGTCAGGGTGTTTCATTCAGCAGGTGTTCCAAGCACCTTGCTTCAGGCAAATCTGTAAAGATAACCATGACTGATCTAGCCCCCTGGTCTTTTGGGAGTTCTGCTCTTAAAGTGTATTGATTTGTGTGAAAGCCAGCAGAGAGCTCCCATCTGCTGGTTCCCCCCTCAGGGGCATCACAGGAACTCCATCTAGGCCTCCCAAGTGCACTAGCAGGGAGCTGGATTCTAAGTGGAGCAGCCTGGACTTGAACCAGCGTTCTGAAACGGATGTGGGCATGAGCTTAACCCTTGTGCAGCAACACCCCCAGCCTCTTCACATGCCATTTTTTTAAAAGACTTTTAAAATTTTTTATTGGAAAATCAGATATACAGAGAGAAGGAGAGACAGAGAGGAAGATCTTTCATCCATTGGTTCACTCCCCAAGTAGATGCAACAGCAGGAGCTGATCCAATCCAAAGCAAGGAGCCTCTTCCAAGTCTCCCACGCAGGTGCAAGGTCCTGAGGTTTTGGACTGTCCTTGACTGCTTTCCCAGGCCACAAGCAGGGAACTGGATGGGAAATGGGGCCACTGGGATTAGAACTGGTATCCATATGGAATTCCAGCATGTACAATGTGAAGACTTTAGCCACTAGGCTACCATGCCTGGCCCTCACATGTCACTTTTACCAAGATTGCAAAAATCCAAGATGGCCAATGTTTCCTGATGGGAAAGGGGACTGCTGGCCCGCGCCCCTGGACCTGCAGCCTGTGGACCTCCAAGTACACTAGCTTGGAGTGACCTGGAAGGGGGGCTGCCTCCTTTGGGGATGGGGGCTCTTTGCTCAAGGCCTCTGCTATTGTCCTGAGAAACAAGACAGGAACCCTCAGGAAGGCCTTGTGGAGAATGGCTCATCAGCCTTCCCTTTGTCTCTTACCTCTGCTAACCTCTGCTTCAACGGGCCTTTGTTGGCTGCCCTTGACAGCGGGAGGAGAGAATGCAGGCCAGGAGCTCCAGAGAGGCTGACAGTGGAGAGCTAAGAGCAGAGGGTCCCCTCCCGAAGGCCCATCTCCAGCTCGGTAGCTTGTGTGCACTGCAGAGGGCGTGGAGGGGAGGCGGTCAGGGCTCATTCCCCTGCTTCCCCCATGGCCCAGGTAGGCATCACTAGCTGGTCATGGCACTGAGCCCAGCAAGCAGGTGGCATGTGGGTTCACTGTCTTCCCTGGTGGCACAGAAGAAGTGGCATCTCGATGGGTGGGGAGGGGTGTCCAGCCAAGGGATGGAAATGGCAGCCTGGTCATGCTCTATCTGGGAGGACCTCGTGGAGGAGGTGGTGGTGGGAGTAGGAGACCATTCTGAGGGGCAGGGAGAAGGGTAGGAGGCACCTGTTGGGTGGATGGTCGGCTAGGGGGATGCTGACCCTGGGGACAGAAAGTGGAGATGCAGACTGGGGACGGCAGGAGCCGGCTTTGCCTCTTTGAGGCCTCCAGCTGTTCCCGTGTCTGTTCTGCTTAAACCTTGGACCGCATGTGGGGGCGGAATCTCAGGACAGGGAGAGGCCGTGGCGCCTCAGTCACATCGAGGGCAGAATATCCCTGGCATAGGGCTAGCTGCTGTCCTGGGGGCGATGAGGGGCAGCAACGCCAGGGCTGCCGGTCCAGGGTAGCCTGGTTAGGGATGCCTGGGACTGCAGGGTCGGGGCCCAGGACCGGGAGGCTGCAGATGAAGCGGTTTCACTGTTATGGCCGTCCCCAGTTACCTCATTATCACATTATCTTTTTAGCGCCGGAGGGGGGCTGATTAAGTGGAGTAAATGAAATCAGTGGGAGGAGAAGGGGGGCCGAGCCAGGCAGGCAGGACAGAGAGGGTAGCTTACCTGTTGTCCGTCCTTCGGCTCACCTTCCTTCTCTGGGCCAGCTCTGCTGCCCCTCCACCCGCCTCACCCCTGCCTCCCTTGCTCCCCCCCTACCATTCGTAACCCTCCTTTTCTTCCTCCTCCTCTGGCCTGGCTCCCTGCTCCTTTTGCTTTCCCATCCCCTCCGCCGCTCTCCCTTCCTGCTGCACTGGCCTCTGCTACCTGTCCTGCTTGCCTGCCTACCTGTCCACTCTTCCCAGAACTCTGTTTAGATGGAGCCTTCTAGAAGGAAACTAGAGGGAGACCTATGAAGCAGAGATAGCCTTAATCCCACAGGCCTGGGCTGGGGAAGTCTTGTTCCAGGATAGGGCCACTGTGGATGGCAAGAGACCCACCTGGACTTGCCTTCCCATCACCGTGGCAACCGCCTCCAGCCTTGGCCCTGGTACCAAAGAAAAGAGCTCCAAGTTCCAGCCAGCCTCCTTTCCTGCTTGCCACCCCTTAGATTCTGCTCTCCTGGAGGCCTGGAGCTGCTGGTTGGCAGACTCCACCCAGTTCCCACTGGGTTCAAATCCCCCGGAAACAGGTTTACCTAAACCCAGTCGGCTGTTGGGGCCCCACCCTCCTCCTCCCGGTCCTCACCCCACCCCCGTGGTAATTACGGTGTGATTGAAGCAGCTCGCCGCGTGCTGGCTGACACCTCTGTCTTTTTCCTGTAAACACGGGGAGATGAAAATAGACACTTGGAGCCGCTGTGCGTGTCACTCGGAAGATGTCTGTTGTCTCCTCCTTGGCAACACCCAGCCTCAGCTGTCACTGCCTCCTTTTCCTGCACAGTGGTTTGTGTGCTGTCAAAAGCCCCCAAGCCACAGTCTGTTAGCATCAGGTTCTGTCAATGGCTTCTTTTAAGTCTCAATTTTTTTCAAGAAGAAATATACAGAAATCATCTCTCCTCGAGGGTGATCCTTGGTACACACACGTATGCGTAGGCGAGCCACACATGCCGTGCACACATGTGAACTGATGCACAGAGGGTACACGTGGACACAGGTGCACACCCATACCTGGGTGGACACAGCAGTGACCTGAAAACAAGCTCCACATGCAGTCACAGTCAACTAGAACCCTTCTCAGAACAGGAGCCGGGGGCAGCAGCTGTGTTGCTGGGCATTGTGGCTTTTGCCTTTCCTCTTTCCCGCTGCGTGGAGGATGGCCATCCACGAGGGGCCCCTTGGAACTCAGGTGGAGGTGGTTGTGCAGTCCCCCTCTGGCACAGCTTCCTGGGCAGCGGCGAAGGTGACCTTGCAGCCTTGGTGTTCTGACTGGCTGTTCTGGGGGCAGATCTTTCCAGATATGCCACACGTGTCTGCGTCTAACCGCACGCAGGGCTGTCCAGCTTTTCTTGGCATCCTGGGGTCATCGGGATGGTGATGGTGGTGCCACTTGCGTGCTGGGTGCTGTGTGTCCTGGTCACAGGGAGCCTGCAGTAGCTTTGCTCAGCCCTCTCACCCATCCTTAGCCTCACCTGCCTTTCTACTGTGATCTGATCAGTGGCTCTGAGTTCTCTGGGGACGAGGTTACATTGCCGCTTTAAGCTGGGTTTATGTAGGTAACTGGGGAACAGCCCGAGGACCCCCTGCCCTGGGAACAGAGCAGGTCTGGGCCTCATGCACGAATGTGGGGATGTTGGTGGGACATGTTCAGTTTAGCATTAATACTGAGGTTCAGGAAGGTGGAGAGAATCCGAGAACCCTAGTCACCCATTACACTAGGAGCCAGTCTTCCCTGGCACAGGATGGCCCCTTGTGCACCTGTTCTGTGTGGCATACATATCTGTCTCCCAAGACATGAGTGTGCTTGCTGCTTGGAGCACGTCAGAGCCACCCCGAGGCCTCAGCGTTGGCTCTGCGGCAGCACTCGGCACCTGGTTCTCGTGAGGTCCCCTGGGGCTACGGCAAGAGGCTCAATGTTTGGTCCCCTTCCATTTCTAGTTGGCTGGGTGACCTTGAGCAAGGTCAGCCTCTTCCATGGGTCTTAGTCTTACCATCTGTAAAGCTGGCATGTAGAAGATTTAAGGACTGTGCAGTTGAGCCCAGGGTTTGCCAGGGGCCTGGGCCATCACCACCCCCCAGCCACAAAGCTCATTTTGTTAACTATTTCCACCAAGGACTAAGCCCCACCCCTCCAACAGCCCTGGCACCCACCCACTTTTTTTTTTTTAAAGATTTATATGTTTTTATTAGAAAGACAAAGAAAGAATCTTTCCTCTTTTGGTTCACTTCCCCACTGGCTACAACAACCAGGCTGAGCCAAGCTGAAGCTAGGAGCTTCTGCCGGGTCTCCCGCATGAGTGCCGAAGCCCAAGCACTTGGACCGTATTCCACTTCTCTCCGAGGCACATTAGCAGGGAGCTGGAATGGAAGTGGACCAGCTGGGACTTGAACTGGTGTCCGCATGGGATGCTGGCATCGCAGACGGCAGCCTCGCCTGTTACGTCATGACATTGTTCCCTTTCATTCCCTTGTGACTAACAACTCCCATTTAGTGTGACTTCAGGATCACATCAAGGTCCAGATATTCTTCCTTTTTTAAAAATTGCTAAGTCATCCTTATGCGAGAAGCAGAGGGCTGTGGAGAGCATTCCCGCTCCCCAAATGCCCACAGCGCCCAGAGCGAGGTCAGGACCAAAGCCAGGAGCAAAACCTTGGTCTTTCATGTAAGTATCAGGAGCCCAGCTGGGCGGGCTGCCTCCCAGGTCATTAGCAGGAATCTGGAGTCAGGAGGCAGAGCTGGGAATTGAACCCAGACTTTTCAGGGTGGGATGCCGGCACTATGACCACTAGATTGAACAGCCATTGCTCTGCACGTCTTCTGTTGAAAGGATATGTGGCATGGCGTTCACCCGCTGCTGTGGGTGGTCGCTCGGCTGCCTCTGCCTTTCAGCTCTTGAACAGCGCTGTGACCGCAGGTGCACGCGTCCATTCTGATTTGCTCAGTTTTTGAAGCCATCATCACGGCAGGCTGTTTCCAGCATCACTGAGAAATAACAAAAAACCCACCTGGTGACCTTCAGCATTGCCTTGTACACATTGTGTGGCCAGGGCAGCTGGCATCCCGGCTGCCTTGGATCGCAGGGGGCTGGGTAGCAGTCCCCAAGGCCATCTCTGCGCAGCTGGTGTGGGAGGAGGCCTGACAAGGTCCTCTCCTTGCCCAGTGGGCCTGTGGGGCAGCACTTTGCAGTGATTTGTGTGTGGAGGTCGGGGAGGGGCACCTAGAGCAGTTCCCAGCATCCTCTGGGACAAGTACCCCTTCTGCCAGGTCTGGTTTCCCATCTTCCAGGTCAGCCTAGGTGAGGGCCCCACCCCAGCCCCAACCCAGGCAGCTGTGCAGAGAGGGCCACCTGCTGGCGGTGCCATGCGTGTGCATACCCACGTGTACAGTCGTGTGTGTGTGTGTGTGTGTGTGTGTGTGTGTGTGTGCATGTAGAGTGGCTGCCCGCTCCCAGCTCCTCTCGTGGAGAGAGGAAGGGATATTTGGGGTGTGGGATCCACCAGAGTCGGTTTAATTACAGGTTTTCAGCCGCGGGCCGGTGGGCATGCGCTGGGGAGGGGGCGAGGCGCTGGAAACCCTGTCATTTTGCAGCGTCTGAGGACCTCTTCAAAGGGGACATCCTGATATTTACTCCGCAAGCCGCAGAGTGGACTGTCGCGGCCCCAGCGTGAACATAATGACAGCCGCATTTTGCCGCAAGCTGCGAGTGAATGGGTCCGACCGCCTCGTCTCCTGTCAGACGAATCTTTTTTTTTTTTTGTCATTTGCTGACAGTTTGGGTCTCATGTGTTTCTCTCTCTCTTTCCTTTTTTTTTTCTTTTTTCACCTCCCTTTCCCCCTGCCTGGAAAAATGGCTAGGTATCTACGAGACCCCAGCAGGGACCATCCTCTACCATGCTCATTTAGACATCGAGGCCTTCACCATGGACCGTGAAGTGCGCAGAATCAAACAGGGCCTGGGCCAGAAATTCGCCGAGCTGGTGTACACGGGTATGTGAGGGCGCCCCCGGACTGCCTACCCCTCCCTCCGCAGCTCCAGACCCCGCCCAGGGACATCCCCAGAGAGGCAGGCTTATAGGGACCATGCCCTGCCACGGGCAGCCATCACCCCCAGCCCCAGCTTCACCCCACACCTGCCGAGGCCACGGGACACCATCCCACAGTGCCCCACACACATCCCGCCCTTCCCACGGGCTCTGCAGCTCATGTTACAGATGAGAAAACAGGCTGAGGGGCAGAAGCTTGTGCCAGTTGACCCAAGGGCAGCAAAGAACACAAACCCAGCCCTGTACACTGCGTGATGGAGCCCGATCACGCCCTGGGACCTGCAGGTGGCCACAGGGCCTGAGCCCAGCCAGACAAACCTGGATGCCCATTTTCCAGGTGTGGAAGCTGAGTCTCTGTGCCTTGCCCATTGTCACAGAATTGGAGCCCAGCCCTCCTGGCTCTGCCCACAGCTGTCCCCTGAATACCTTCAGAATCATTTTTGTATTCTAAAATGATCAGAGAAGGAAAAACAATGTGACAGGTCACCAGATGGGATGTATCAGACAGCCCCCCCCAACCTGGGGGGGGGGCACATCTTGGTGACCTGGGTAAAGTTGGCTGATGACCACTTTCTGGGGGTGAACATTGTCCTCGTACCTGAGAGGCTTCCTGGCAACAGCCCCCCTGTCTGTAACTCCTTTAAGGATCTGAGGTTGGTGTGGTAGTGGGGGGCATGATTGCATGTTGCTGAGATGCAAGGCAAGCCCCTCCCCCCAGGTGCAGGCAGGTGTTTAAATACCATTGTCCCCTGCGGGGCCTTGAAGCTCGGCAGGGACTTTGCACTGCAAGACGGATTTGGGTTACAAAGTGGGAGGGTCATTAAGAGGGAGCAGGCTGCCATGGGGAGAGAGCACCTGGCCCAACGGCTCAAGGCCGGGCTGTGCCAGGCGCCAAGACTCGGGCTGCCACTTCCCCTACTCTCTCGCTCTCCCTGCCAGGCCCTGACCTGGGTGTCACCTTGGAGATACCCAGCCGAGATTCTGGGGCTGATGAGCAGTGGCTGTGAGCCTAAGACAGGCCAGGCTCCCAGAGCCAAGTTCATGGTTACGCCCGCAGGCACTATTAGCAGAAGTGGCCAGGAGAGGCACTGCTGCCCAAGCTGGGGGCCCCCAGATGTCCTAGGTGGCCAGAGGAGGTACTGTGCCTTGGCTGGGGGTCCCCAGGTGTCCTGGGTGAGGATGAATTCCGAGTGGGGAAGAGGGGTCATTGTTAACCTTGCCCAGGCCCTGCGACGTTCCGGCCTCCTGGATGTCAAGGCTGGCTGCAGGCAGCTGCTTCAGCACAAACGGTGCCTTGCCACACCTGCAAGGCCAGAGGTTGCCGGCAGCCCGTCTCCTGGCCTCTAGGAGCCTCCACTTTCCCACCCGGAGAGTGGAGACTGGGTGAGTCAGGATTTGCATGGCATCTGGGAGGGGGCCTGCAAGTGCCCACCACTGCCAGGGCCAGTGTGGTTTCTCGTGCCCCCTGCCAGTTCTACTTGTGCCCTGGACACAAGGCTGGGCTTCATGGACCTGATCCAGCTGGGCCACGGGAGACTGTCCAGCTAGAGAAGGTAGAAGCAGATGGTCCGGCCTTCCCTCTGCAGCCCCACCCCAGGCCCCGCCCACTGCACATCCACAGGCTGGGAACCCGCTTGGCCTGTCCCGTGGTGGCAGGTGGACTTTCTGCCCCCTGGCCAATGAAAAAAGAAATCTGAGCAGAGGACAGAACGGGAGATCGGGTGGGGGAGGACCCCCCTCATCTTCCTTATCACCGACTCCATCTCCCACCCCACTTCCAACCTGGAAGCTTAATCGGTTCATTATGCCGACTTTGGAAGGTGGATACAGTGACCTGGAGATGAAGAGGGACAGCCACGTCGCCTCTGAAGGCCTGGGGTGGGAGGCAGCCCTCCACTGTGTGCTGGGAGGCCTCTTCTGTGACCCCACTGTGTGCTGGGAGGCCTCTTCTGTGACCCCACTGTGTGGCTTCAGATAGACCCTCTCCATGTCTGAGCGAGAGCTGGCAGAGGTCATGATGTTCAGGCCACAAACACCAATCTCTCAGCACAGCCACTGGTGCCCTGAGCTCATGATGCCAATAAGGACACTGAGGCACCGGGAAATCGGGCAGCTGTCCCTGTGGGGCTGGGACCCTGGAGCAGCACGGCTGTCTGCTTTCCCACGATGGACGGCCTCGGCAGGTGTCCCCAGAGGCCTGGACCGCCAACAATAGCCATGACCCCGGCCTTTATCAGGGCTGGGGATCGTGGACCATCTGGCCCCGCAGCTGCCCAGGTGGGCTCACCTTCCCGGCTCCATTTCAAAGAAACCCTATGCCCGGGCAGCCCCTCCCCCGGCCCCCGACTCTGGCCTGCTCCCGCAGAGCCCAGAGGGAGAGGAGGCAACAGCTGTCCGCACGTCCACAGGCCTAAGCTTGTCGCCAAGGTCCCGGGCAGCCTGGGGACAGAGGGAGCACCTATCTTCTCTCTGGCCTTTAGGAATCTGGGGGCCAAGGGAGAGGGGAAGGGGGGAGGAGCAGGATTCTCAGGCTCTCTTCCAGCCCCCCCCCCTCCCGCACATGTCCTTGCTGCTGAGGGCAAAGTTCCGAGGGTTCATGGGGAGCTGAGCTGTTACAGACCCCAACCAAGTGAGGTGCACAGGAGGCACCCCGCATCCGGAGATGTTGCCCAGCCTCCCTTGAGCGCACCTTTCCCAAGGGTGGCTGTGAAGGGATCCGAGGCTGGCGCAGGGAGGACACAAAATCACGCAAGTGTGGCAGGAAGACAATCACAGTGCACAGGGGCAGCCCCATCTCGGGGCTGGGTCCTTCCCTGTCGCTTCTCCTGCGCCAGCCCCCCAGAGGGGAGGATAGCTGGGGGCTCTGCACACCTGAGGCCCCCCCTAATCCCACATCCAACTGGGCACCCGCGGCCTGCACCTGTGAGATCTTGCTGCCTCCCCTACCAGCTTGGTGCTCGGCCGTAGACAGGGAACAGCCCTTTGTCACTGAGTTCTCTGGCCTGTGGCTCTCAGGAGGCAACTACATCTCAAGGTCAAGGACGTCCCTTGGATGGATCCTCAGCTGTGTTTCTCCCCATGATCATTTGTTTTTATTTTTTAAAAGATTTATTTCATTTTCATTGGAAAGGCAGATATACAGAGAGGAGAAACAGAGAGGAAGATCTGTCCATTGGTTCGCTCCCCAAGTGACTGCAACGGCCAGTGCTGCACTGATCCGGAGCCAGGAGCACTTCTGAGTCTCCCACGCGGGTGCAGGGTTCCAAGGCTTTGGGTTGTCCTTGATTGCTTTCCCAGGTCACAGCAGGAGCTGGATGGGAAGTGGGTCCACCAGGATTAGAACTGGCGCCCATATGGGATCTGGCACGTGCAAGGCAAGGATTTTAGCCACTAGGCCACTGCTCCAGTGCCCCCATGATAATTTCTGAGAGCACAGGCCCCAGGTTCACCATGACCCAGTGAAGCCTGGGTTGCCTTCCCATGCCCTCGCCTTTCTCTTCCCACAGGCTTCTGGCACAGTCCTGAGTGTGAGTTTGTGCGCTACTGCATTGCCAAGTCCCAGGAGCGTGTGGAAGGCAAAGTGCAGGTGTCTGTCTTCAAGGGTCAGGTGTACATCCTCGGCCGCGAGTCCCCCCTGTCCCTGTACAACGAGGAGCTGGTGAGGTAGGCGTTCTTACCCCTCGTCCCACTCCTGAGCTGGACCCGGGGCCTCTCACAGCCACCATCTTCCTTTGACGGGCTTCTCAGCACACCTGTGGCCGGGCACCTGTCAGGGCAACCTCAGGGAGAAATCCAGAGGCCACCAGAAGATGGATTAGGGAAGGTGGTGACAGGAGGTGGGGACAGACGGACACTCCGGCTGGGTATCATAGTCGGTTGGTTGAGAATGGGCACTGGCAGGGTGGGAATGGCCAGGGCAGACGCAGAGGAAAGTGCCCACAACTGGGTTAGGCTGGAAGACTATGGAAATAGTGAAAAGCAGGCATATTTGCCAAATAGGAGAACTTGGCAGGGCTCGGGTATGGGAGAAGGCAGGCCCAGGATCACCCTAGGTTTGGAGGGACAGGGGTAACCCTGTGCAGTGTCAGGGATGATTCCTGGGGCGGGGAGGGGGAATTGTGCATTTGAGCCCAGAGGCCTCCTTCATTCAGCCCTGGGGGAACCTGCCAGCTGGACATTAGCTCAAAGGTCCAGAGTGGAGGAGCGCCCCAGGGTGGACAGGCAGGGATGAGGCAGGGCCCACAAGGGGCTGGATACAGAGTGAGATGGGACAGGAGCCAGGGAAGCCTTCACCTGGGGAGCTGGGAGGTCCCCACCCCTGTGGGCGGGGCCCAGGGGGCACCTGACTGCCAGCTACACCTGCACCTGCAGTGGCCTCCACCAGGCAGCCAGGTGTCTCCGTGGGAGGTCAGAGCCCCGAGATCCCGCTCCCCAGCTCCAGCCCAGCTCAGGCCTGGGAATTACAGCACGAGTTTTGTTTGGCAGTCAATATTATATTTTTTTTCCCCTTTGCCTTCTCTTCCCCCGAGCCCCCCTCCCATCTTTCCAAACACTTTATAAGCCATAAATATAACCGAATCAGTGTAGATCAGTCGGGGTAAATGTCAAATTATCTTCTCTCTTTCTCTCTCTGGCTCTTTCTGCCCTCCCCCTCCGAATCAACAGCCTCTAATAATCCGTCCAACCCTTCATTAAGCCTTGCGGTCTCACTCGGGGAGATTAAATGAATAAAGTAAAAAGGGAAAGGGGGAAAAAAGAGAGAAAAGCAGGAGCATTTATTCTCACTGTGTCCCCGACCATTTCCCTTTCTTTCTGATTTCTACATCGCTGACTTGAAAGCCCTTGAGTGGCAGCGTCACAGGGCCCAGCGAGGAAGCCGCGAGAGGTGGCAGGACTGGAAATGCCGCGGCACAGTAGGTAGAAAGTAACGTAATTATAGGGCAGGTCAGAGCCACTCGAATGAGCAAAAATAAAAGCACAGAGGTTCGCTGGAGACCGTCAGGGGAGGTAAAAAAAAAAAATCATTGTGAGCTCTTTTTCCACCTTCCCCCCCATGCCACCCCAAACTGCACTTTTAAAGAGACCCCTTTCCGCTTCCTCAGAAAGCCCCCTTGGAGCTCACCGGCCTTGGGGCCCTCCTGGCTCGGGGTTTCGGCCTGAGCCGGGGCCATGGTGGGCGGAGGGCTTTGGAGTGTAGGTTCCCACCAAGACAAGCGGGGGCCGAGGGTCACGCAGGGTAAGGAGGAAGGTGCCACACTGGCCAGGCTGGGACAGCACTCTTGCAGAGGAAGCTCAGATGGGGGTTTCGAAGCCTACTGGGGGTCCCCACCCCACCAGCCCATCGCCACAAGGTCTGGTACAGGGGCCTGAGAACAGCAGAGGGTCTGGCTTATGGCCTGGCTCTTCCTAAGCAGCTGCTCCACCTGCAAGAGACCCCACCCTCCCCAGCCTCCTGTGGCCTCGGTGCCTGGGCAAGGCAGGGAGGCTGGGGAGCAACAGGGGTGACTGGGGTGGGGGCCGGGCTGGGGAGATGCACAGAGTCCACAGGCCGAGGCCGTGGGAAGCAGAAGCAGTACCCCATCCTGCCCCTCTAGGGAGGGCTCCCGAGGGGACAGATCGCCCCCTTGTCATCCAGAACCTGGAGACTGCTTTGTCCCCAGGCTGGGCATGAAGACAAGGGGCTGATTCAGAGTGGGGGACTTGATGAGGCCCCCAGGGCGCCTGTGACCTGGACCCTGAGTGCTGGTCCCCTTCAGCAGCAGCAGAGGCAATGGGCCGTTGATTGCTTCTGCCTTGTCCCTGCGTCTCCCTGCACCTGCCAGGTCCCCAGCAGCAGGTAGTAAACACCTGAGAAAGTGATGAATGGGTGATGCTAGCAGTGGAACACAGGGTCCAGGAAGTAACTTCAGAGCCACATACCCGGGGGTGGGGGGCAGCTGAACATCCCTGGACATGTCCACACTCACCCCTCCCAAGCTGGACAGAAGCGGGAGGCCCAATCTGTCACGCTGGGTGGGGTCGATGGGCTGCGTGCAGCACCAGGGCCACTTCCCGCACCCAGTGAGCTCAGTGTATCCTTCCCTTCTGGCAGCATGAACGTGCAGGGCGACTACGAGCCCATTGATGCCACGGGCTTCATCAATATCAACTCGCTCAGGTGAGAAACCCTGGGTGGGTGCAGCGTGGGCTCTGGTCACTGCCCTGCCCTGTCCTAGCTGAGCCAGGTTTGCCTGTCCACCTGCCCACCACATCCTCCGTGCTTCTCTGCCTCTGATGCTCACCCCCATGCCCAGCACCCCGGGCAGGTGTGCAAGGAAGCAGGCTGGAGGCAGAAGGGAGCCCTCAGGTCAGCAGAGCCGAGCAGCAGGTAGCCCAGCTCTGTCCTCTCGGTCCCAGACTTGTGTCCTGGTGCTGCAGGACAGCCTCATACCCTTCCTAAGCAGGTGCGGGTCCACTTGCTCACAGGTGCCAGCAGAACCTTTAGGCAGTTCCCAGCCCTCGGGCAAATGACGTCATTAATGACCAGCACCCCACCGCCTACTCCAGGAACCAAACCCAGAGTAGTTAAGTGACGTGCCCAAGGTCACACAGCTTGGCAGTGGTGCTGCTGAGGCAGGGGTCCTCCACTTGCAGGCCTGGCAACTCCACCCCCACCCCCTTCTCTTGGGGCTCTGGGCTATGCAGGAAGGAGTTAGCCTGTCCCCTTGCCCTCTGTACGGAGCCACCTCGGACCCAAGCCCCACCGCCTGGGCCACCACCCCCCTTCCCTGCCTCCTGTGCACACCCCCACCCTTTTAAATGGCCCAGGACACAACGTAATGGGCTCTTCAGCACTCCCATTGCCGGTTTAAATGTTTTGTCTTCCACGATGGCAAACAATGTCCCCTTACTCTCCTGAAGACAAATTAATTGCATTATCCTGATTGGAGGGCGGGAGGGGCGGTGGGGGCCCGGAGAGAGAAAAAGAAGACAGTGGCGCTGAGGACCGCGCAGGCAGCTGCCCGGCCAGCGCGTCCGCCGGCGTTAATTGAACCGAGTGCATGTTGTTATTGTTCATTTACATTTTTCTTTGTTTTGGATCTGGTTCACAGACTGAAGGAGTATCATCGCCTTCAGAGCAAGGTCACCGCCAAATAGAGCGGCTGACAATGCGCAGCCAGGGCCGGCTCGCTCCGCGCTGTCTGATTGCGAGTTCCCTCCCGGCGGCGGCAGTGTAGTGGGGCTGCCGCACTCTCGCTTTGTCTCCTCGGTCCCCTGTAGCCTGCCAAAGTAGTCGTCATTGGGGTTGGGGGTGCCAAGCTGGGGAGCAATAAAACGACTCTAAGGAGGCCACGCGGTGCTCTGCGGTCCTTTATCTCCCCCACGGCGTGTGCAAGACTGTGTGTGTGTGCACATTTGTATGTAGACTGTGTGTGAATGGCGTGTGTGCTCTGTGTATATTCTGTGTGTTCATCTTGTGCATACCTGGCTGTGTGTTTCGATGTGTGTGCTTCGTGCAGGTTTGTGAGTGAATCGTACTTTCCCTAGCCTCATACTTGAGTTTTCCGATTTCAGGGGTGCTAAACGCCCTCTCAGCCAGCGAGGCGTGGCTTTGACCTCTCTCTCCAGCCCAACCTGGGAATCTAGAAGTGCCCCTGGGGTCCTGGCCCAGCAACCTAGGATTTTGTCCCCTGTGGTGTCTCTGGGACGTGTCCCAGGAAAGCAGAGAGAGTCGGGGTGGCAGACTTGGAGCAGTGCACCCCACAGACCTTTCTCTGAGTAGTTACCAGCGTAACCCCAAACCCTGTTGGTGACAGGCCAAGAGCCGAAAGCCAACTGCGGCGTGACCGATCCCCCGGACATCATGTGTATGCGTGTGTCTTTAACCACCATGCAACGACAGGTTTTACTTTCAGAGTTGTCAGCTCAGCACCCTGTCGGCAGCACAGCCTACATTTGGCTGATTTCTGCCCACTCACACACTTGGGATGTTTTCAGAGTTGTTGAGTTAAAGTGCACTCCGTATTTTGTGCTATGTAACTCTAGACCTATACTTTGCAGTTATACTTTAAAGAGTTTGTACCTGCTTTTAAATCTGTAACATCATGTCATAAATGCTTCTTTTAAAATTATTATTTGAAAGGTAGATTTACAGGGAGAGATGCAGAGAGAAAGATCTTCCATCTACTGGTTCACTGCCCGAATGGCCACAACAGCCAGAGGAGCCAGGAGCTTCTTCCAGGTCTCCCATGCAGGTGCAGGGTCCCAAGGCTTTGGGTCATCTTCCACTACTTTCTCAGACAAGCAGGGAGCTGGATAGGAAGTGGAGCAGCCGGGACACAATCTGGCACACACATGGGATCCCAGCCCTTGGAGGTGGAGGATTAGCCAGTTGAGCCAGTGCACTGGCCCCACAGTTCATTCTTGGAGCCTGAGATTTAGCTATTCCAGGAACCTTTCTCCTTGTTGAATTATCTTAGCATTTTCATCACAAACCAGCTGTTCCTGTGAGAAGGGCTGTAGCCCTGTACTCTGCTCTGGTTCAGCGCTGGGATGGCCCCGGGGCAGCTGCTGCAGCTTTGTGGTCTTCAGTCAGCCCAGGCATAGCAGCCACCCTCGCCTCACTCCCGTTCCCAGGATTGTGTCAGCTCTTCAGGAGCTGAGCCTTCACACACACACTTCTAAAAGCCGGCTGGGGCTTCTCTGTCACTGGGCCTGCACAAAAGCACCAGACCAATTTACAAAGACCTGCCATCTTGTATCAGGCCTTCAACCTGGGAAGGGCATGGTGGCACAGTGGGTTAAGCTACGGCTTGGGACACTCACATCCCTATCTAAGTGCCGGTTCGAGTCCCAGCTCCACTGTGTGTGTGATTCAGCTCCCTGTTAATGTACCTGGGAAGCAATAAGTAATGGCTCAAGTGCCTGGACCCCTGAACCCTTGTGGGAGACCTGACTGGAGCACCTGGTTCCTGGCTTTAGCTTGGTCCAGCCCTAGCCACTTGGCCATCTGGGGAGTGAACCAGCAAATAGAAGGTCTCTCCCTGACCCCTCTCATTCTGCTTTTCAGATAAATAAAGTTTAAAACTATTTTCTAGTTTCAAAATATAGTTCTGTATCCTTTGTGAAATTTCTTAATTCTGATCACTTTATTTATTTTTGTTACTTGAAAGTCAGAGAGAGAGATTCCCTCTGCTGTTTCACACCCCAGATGGCCACAGCGATGAGAGCTGAGCTGATCCGGAGCCAGGAGCTTCTTCCAGGTCTCCACTGGTGCAGGTTCCAGGCACTCGGGCCAGCACCCGTTGCTTTCCCAGGCGCGTTAGCAGGAAGCTGGATGGGAAGCGGAGAAGCCGGGACTAGGACTGCCGCCCACAGGTTCTGGGTGTTGCAGTGGCATCCACTGATCGAGTTCTCATTTGGACTTGACAAGGTCAGTTTTTCAGCTCTTAGTTTTTATTCTAGAATAAATCTCCCTGCGTTTCTCAGGCATGATCTGTCAGGCATTTTTCTTAACGACAGTTGTGGTGGATAAGGTCTCTAGCCTGGATCAAAAACTCGGACAACTCACGGAGAGTCCCCATTGCTTCTCTTTCCAGCAGCCACCAGAGGGCCAGGCCAGGGATCCCAGGCCCCTCTGCTCCACTTCTCACCCAGCTCCCTGCTGGGAGGGCAGCAGAGGATGGCACTCCCACTGGGAGACCTGGGTGGAATGCCAGGTTCCTGGCTGTAGCCTGGCGCAGTCCTGAACACTGCAGACACTTGGGGGAATGAATCAGCAAATCAAAGATCCTATTTCTCTTATGCTTTCTGTCTCCCTCTCTCTATAGCTCTCTCTAATAAGTAAATCTGTTAAGAAAAAATAGCAGAGGAACTTTGGGAAATTATTAGCCCCAGAATTCACTTCAGATCCCAACTCCTCAAGCTGAATGTGTTGGTGAGTCCCAGGATCCAGGTCGTGCCACTTAGCGCTTTCACTGGTACACATGTGTCCGTGCACGAGATGGGATGGCTTGTGTCATGAACAGATGCTTCACTTTTGTGTTTAACCTAACAGTATCAATCATTTTTAACTCACTCCTGGCTTCAGCACCAACAGGTATAGAACACTTAAAAAAAAAAGGATGTATGTAATATGTATGTATTTAAGAGGCAGAGAGAGAGCCAGATGTCGATCTCGGCTGGTTCACTCCCAAGATGCTCACAACAGCTGGGGCTCAGGTCAGGCTGCAGCCAGGACCCTGGGATTTCACCCAGGTCTCTCACGTGGAGGACAGTGTCCCTAGCGCTTAGGCCGATCTTCTGCTGCCCTCATGGGAGTTGAGGCGAGCACCCCAGTACACTCCGTCAGGCTCTGGAAGCTGCTCCTTCAGTGCCAAGCCCCACCAGGCTGCCACAGCGGCCAGCACCCCGCCCCCAGCCACACACAGGGAGACTTGTTTATCAGGACGCTTACCTTTGGTGTAAGCCTGGATCCCAGTGTTTAACAGCTGCTGACTAATTGTGGGGCCAATCCTTGCCACTGGGAGGAATTTTATTTCTGTGAAATGAGACAACACGCGCAGTCGTTAGCACCTTGGTGTTGCGGGATCAGGCGGTGGATGGGTCTACCTTCTACCCACTGGCAGGTGCAATCAAGTACAGTTCTGAGCTGCCAGGAATTGGAGGGAGCCAGGGGCACAAGGGGGAGGAGATGAAAGCAGACAACCCCCTAGCAATAGGGAAAGAAGGAATGGGGCCTGACTCCCAGAGGGCTGAGGTGTGGGCAGGAAGGTATCAGGGCAGAGGCGCCCTTCACCCTGCCAGGAAGGCGGACAGGGCATGTGCCAGACTGGCCCCTTGACCGTCGCCTGTTTTGTCTCACCCAAGGCTGGGTGATGAAGGAAGGACAGACACATGTGGCTGGAGGGTGTCCCTGCCAGCCCAGAGCCCCTGGCGGCAGCACAGCATGGTGGGTGACATCATATGGCAGGGACCACGTGAGAATGAGTCACAGTTGGAAGGCGAAACCAGAAGTGAAGAGTCTGGGAGCAAGGCCTTCTGCCAGATCCCAACTCCTGCCACTCTGCTGCACCAACACCCCTCACACGCGCTCCTCCAGCGCCACCTCTCAAGGGCTACCTCCTGCAATCAGACCTCCAGGATGCGCTCCGAGCACAAAGCACTGGAACGCTGATGCCACATGTAAGCACATCCCCCACCCCTCCCACTGAGCCCACAGGATCCCCAGGAACCAGGTGGGGCTGGTGGGGCTGGCAGGACTGCGATGATGGAGATGGCCATGGGCCTGGGCGAGAGCCTGGGCTTGGCTATTGCCTGTCTAGAAATCAAGCCACCTTTCCCACCCAGGGTTGAGATGGGACAGGTGGAGGTAATACACAGCAAGAGTCAAGAAGATAGTGAGTGCTCACTTATCTGTGTTTGTCCTACCCATGGGCACAAGCCCAAACTGCTCCCACCCCAAGGAGACAAACAGGAGAACACTCAAACAACTCAAAATCTGCATACCATATGATCCAGCAATAGCATTCCTAGGAATATATCCAAAACACCTGTTTTACGACAAACCAACATGCATCCCTATGTTCATTGCAGCACAATCAGTAATTGCAAAAACATGGAAGCAACCAAAATGCCCATCAGCAGAAGATTGGATAAGAAAGCTTTGGTTCATCTACTCCATGGAATACTACTCAGCTATTAAAAAAAACAAAATGCAGTTCTTTGTGGCTAAATGGGCACAACTGGAAACTATAATGCTAAGGGAAATGAGCGAATCCCAAAAGATTAGATACCACATGTTTGCCTTGATTTAACCTGTAATTTTTGTATGGTTGTTTGTTATTTTTTGAACGTGTCATTGATACTGTCTCAACCCAGATGTTTCGAAGAATGGAACTTGCATTATTTTTAACATATTGTTTACCCAATACTATGTCAATTAATTCCATAATGTTGTATATTGATACTGAGGCCTTGTTGGGGCTTTTAACTGACTGGATCTTTACTCTGTTAGACCTATCTTCAGACCATAGAAGGTCTCTCCAAGAGGCCACTGAACTTATCTGGACAATAAGACGCTGAACTTTATGCTAGGCATGTGTTTGCAAGCAATGAATCTCAACTGAACTTGAACTATGGTTATGCAACAAGGTGGAGGAATCCACCATGGGGGGAAGGGTATGGGAGGGGTGGGGGGAATCCCCAGCGCCTATAAAACTGTACTACATAATACAATGTAAGCAACAATAAAAAAAAAAAAGAAGTTAACATAAAAAAAAAAAAGGAGACAAACAGGAAAACCCAGAGCCAAGAAGCCAGTGACAAACAGGCAGAGTGGATGGGGAGTT